GAAGACGCTCTTCTAGGTGGCCGGGCAGCCGTGGGGGATCAGAATGGGTCCTAGAAGAATTCTTTGTGAGCCGTCAGCATGATCCCTTGCTTTCTAGTAAGAGCAAGTAGAGTTTTCTTTGATTTTTGTTGGAGCTCAGAAAACCCCTTGTCCTTTAGTGCACTGAGAGAAGGCCAAGTGACTGGATAAAGAGAGGCTTTTATGTGGGAGAGGTTGCAGGCATTTGCAGCCTTGAAGTTAAAGTGACTGTCGCGTCTAGCAGTGAGTGGCCCTTCGTGAATAGCAAGTGGCTTCACCGATTTTCTCTGGGGCTGGAATTGGCAGTAGGATGTGGGCATTTTACCTGCATTTTAGCTGTTTTGAAGTTGGCCCAGGTACCCAGCCAAGGGCCCTCGGTGACTTGTGTGTAAAGGCCTGGAGGATATCCTTTAGGTTCCAAAGATCAAGGCTTTTCAGGTGCCCTTGGCGGGTGGGAAGGGCCAGGCGGAGTCCCATGACCCGACTGAGTTGTGAAGGTTGATCGTGTTGCCATTCGAGGACTAAGTTTACATGAATGAAAACTGGGCTGGGCTCAAAGTGCTGAAGAGGTGTCGTTTCCCCCTCTCGCCCTCCCCACCTTTAGTTTGTTAAGAAGGTGGCCCCTTTGGATCCGGTTGAGGTGGAAGACAGCGTGGGACATGTGCTAATAGGTGCTATAGACATTATAGACAGTCGGGCTTCCAGAAACAGAACCTTTTGCGATTTTTTTCATTGAACCAGTCTTCTGACATGGATTCGGACTTGGAAAGGGTGCTTACAGGATTTCTTTGTTTGCTCTAGTATAGACTATTTTCCAATGACATTAAACCTTGATCTTATCTAAGAGTCAGCAGGCTTGTAGACTTGTTACCTCAGGCCCTAATAGTTCACTTACAGCTCGACATAAAATTTACCCTAATAGTCTTTGAAAGCAGAGCTTAAATTTCCTGTTTTATTCATCTGCTTTATTCATTTAGCTGAAATTAACAAGTGCTGGCTGCTGGGTGGTGGGAGCATTACAAAGGGGAGGGTGATAGAGACTCTCTAGTCCCTTACATTTTTGAGGTCTGGGAAGTCTCCTTGTCTGTGTTCGAATCACGGCTCCACGAACCTTTCTGTGTGCACATCAGGATGCTTCTGGCTCAGAGTAACTGAATGCTGACTTAGTTGACTTAAAGTTATCTTTCATAAGGAGGTTGAGTAATTTCCATTAAGTCTGCATAGTTAACGCAATGGCCAGGGAAGAAGAATATCTGCTTGTGTCTTTTACTTGGTACTTGGGAGGAAACCTTCTCTGAAGCTCCCCAGCAGACTTTTTTACATCGCATTGGCCAGAATGGCTTTGTGTGCCCACCATAGTATCGCTGGAAATGGACAGGTGTCCACGGTGGCCTTCAGCCATCACGCTCAACCTCCAGGTCCTACAAAGGGGTTCAGCCTTCCCTGAGTGAAGCGTGTGGCCGTGTGGAAGAGGCGGGGTACTCGGGTGGTATCGGACTCCTGATAGGAAGGAGGAGGTGAGGGATAGGAGTATCAGTCAGTATCCTTTAGGTTCCAAAGATCAAGGCTTTTCAGGTGCCCTTGGCGGGTGGGAAGGGCCAGGCGGAGTCCCATGACCCGACTGAGTTGTGAAGGTTGATCGTGTTGCCATTCGAGGACTAAGTTTACATGAATGAAAACTGGGCTGGGCTCAAAGTGCTGAAGAGGTGTCGTTTCCCCCTCTCGCCCTCCCCACCTTTAGTTTGTTAAGAAGGTGGCCCCTTTGGATCCGGTTGAGGTGGAAGACAGCGTGGGACATGTGCTAATAGGTGCTATAGACATTATAGACAGTCGGGCTTCCAGAAACAGAACCTTTTGCGATTTTTTTCATTGAACCAGTCTTCTGACATGGATTCGGACTTGGAAAGGGTGCTTACAGGATTTCTTTGTTTGCTCTAGTATAGACTATTTTCCAATGACATTAAACCTTGATCTTATCTAAGAGTCAGCAGGCTTGTAGACTTGTTACCTCAGGCCCTAATAGTTCACTTACAGCTCGACATAAAATTTACCCTAATAGTCTTTGAAAGCAGAGCTTAAATTTCCTGTTTTATTCATCTGCTTTATTCATTTAGCTGAAATTAACAAGTGCTGGCTGCTGGGTGGTGGGAGCATTACAAAGGGGAGGGTGATAGAGACTCTCTAGTCCCTTACATTTTTGAGGTCTGGGAAGTCTCCTTGTCTGTGTTCGAATCACGGCTCCACGAACCTTTCTGTGTGCACATCAGGATGCTTCTGGCTCAGAGTAACTGAATGCTGACTTAGTTGACTTAAAGTTATCTTTCATAAGGAGGTTGAGTAATTTCCATTAAGTCTGCATAGTTAACGCAATGGCCAGGGAAGAAGAATATCTGCTTGTGTCTTTTACTTGGTACTTGGGAGGAAACCTTCTCTGAAGCTCCCCAGCAGACTTTTTTACATCGCATTGGCCAGAATGGCTTTGTGTGCCCACCATAGTATCGCTGGAAATGGACAGGTGTCCACGGTGGCCTTCAGCCATCACGCTCAACCTCCAGGTCCTACAAAGGGGTTCAGCCTTCCCTGAGTGAAGCGTGTGGCCGTGTGGAAGAGGCGGGGTACTCGGGTGGTATCGGACTCCTGATAGGAAGGAGGAGGTGAGGGATAGGAGTATCAGTCAGTATTAAGACTTGGTTCCTGTCTTCAAGGAGCTCGTAGTCGGGGGGGGGGGGGGGGGGGAGTGGGCATGAATAAATAAGGGAGTGGTTCCAATCAGTGTCAAGTGTGCAGTAATAGAGATGCACAGAATTTGGTGGGAAGACAGAAGAAGAAAGTAGTAACGTTGTCTAGAGGAACCCAGAGGTTTGAAGACTGGGTCCTTTTTTCGTAATAGGAATTGCAGAGTCACAAAGGAGTGAAAGATTAAGACTTGACCCTTTGTGAAGTACTTTCTAAGAAAGACAGCTCAGTGGGAAGGAAAGCAGGAAGATGGGGTTTGCTGCTGACTTGCGTGCTGTCGTGGACAAGTCACTTTACCTGTCTGTGCAGGGCAGGTGTTTGACTACATCTTCTCTCAGCGCCCTCAAGCTCTGATATCTTGTGTGACTTCATACCTATGGCTTTGGAGTCAAGGCCATGTCTTGTGGTTCTGATCTGACCCAGTGCTGAGCACCGCCCCCCCCACCGGTCTCTAAGGTCTCTAAGTATGGTGACTATGGGCCTTGTTCACACCTGGAGCCTAGAGCCTGGAACATAGCAGGTGCTCAACGAATGCTGGTTACCTGTGTGAACTCAGAAACTTAGGCATACTCTCGGCAAGTGTTCCTGTTTGCTTTACTGAAATCTGGAAACGTATCTTTTAGGGACCCATACCTCTTTTTTTACTTTATCATAGAGCAAGATTTCTCCTTCAGAGCCTGAAGTACACTTTAAGTTTTATTCGAAGGGATTCACTTTGTATTAAATAATTCTCTGAAGCTTGGCTTCTTGAAATTTTTTCTTTTCAAATTCAGGACTAAAAAGATAAGAGAGGAAAAGGGAGGTACTTTTGGCCTTCCAAAATAGTAGTGCTTGGGTATTGTTACTCCTTTTCCTAGCAGGGAATGTAGATGAATGCAAGCACAAGGTCTTATTTAAAAAAAATAGTTGGCTGAAGCTTGAATCACTTTACCTTTGAGTATTTCTTAACATGGTAGACAAATTTGTACCTGGTTTTGATTAAAGTTTAATAGCTATCATTTCTTGCTTATTTACCGTATGCATTCAGTATCTCATTTAATCTTCATAACACCCCTGCAAGGTAGATGGTGGTATCCTAATTTTATACATGAGGTCACCGAAATTACTGAGAATTGCGAGGTAATTTCTACTTGTGATTATGGAACTGGGATTTAAATGTAGGTCTCTCTGGGGACCTCCCTGGTGGTCCAGTGGTTAAGACTCCATGCTTGCACTGCAGGGGGCGTGGGTTTGATCCCTGGTTGGGGAACTGAGATCCCACACACCACGCAGCATGGCCAAGTAAATAAATAAATAAGTAATAAAAAAATGTAGGTCAGGCTTCCCTGGTGGCGCAGTGGTTGAGAGTCCGCCTGCCGATG